CGCTGTACTCTGGCTCAACTACGCAGTGGCTACTCAATGGTCATTCGCCAGTACCCGACCCGCCCACAGCCGACTGCTGTCCCGATTGCGGCGTTTCTCCGCATCTGTTGGCCTGCAGTTCCCGGTCAGGCACCCAACTCACGACCGCAGACCTTTGGCTCAAGCCGGTCGAGGTCGCGGCTTTTCTCCCTCTTCCAACTACTACCAGTTTGGATTCCGGCGGGACTCCTAATCTAAAAATGGGCTACGAACTTGGGCGAACTTGGCATCAAAGAGGATACACACTAAACCGAAGAAGTGAACTTGCCTTTGGCATCGTAATTTCTGCACCGCTGAATACCGATGGTTCATTCATGTCGTTCCACACGTAGAACATAGATCCTTCACGAATGAAGTCAGAGGACGTAAAGAGATTGGCCCACCAATCTTGGACTTCCGGACGCAAATAATCTGGCCAGCTGCTAGAACCAGGCCAACACCAGCCGTCAAAGTCGCCAGAATCAGGTGTCTTGACATACAGGCCTTTCGATTCAGCGTCTCTGTGTGTATGAAAGATGTAGAAAATAAAGACGTGGTATCAAAAACGGCTGCCGCGAGTATCCCAGTTTGTCCTCTCATTCAGTGCAATGAATTTCGCCTTCTATCGAAAGCAGCCCAAGGGGATCTTTGGTGAAGATATTGGAGCTGCACAAGGCAGTAATACTATAATAACGACTAGTAATGACAGAGATGTTCTGCTATCTAAGATTTTCGGGCCCGTAAGCAATAGATATCGTTAATACTAAAGAGTTAGGCAATACATCTTGAAGAAGGCCCTTACAAAATGTGTGTGTGAGCAAAACGAAACCCTTTGGCAAATCTAAGCTGGCCGGGGTTTGAACGTGAACACTGAAACCAAATACCTGACGTGCACTAAAATTCATTGCAGTCAACGGGGACACAATACTTGATCTTCTCTGAAGCTTTCATCTGAAATTTCACGTGGGAATCGACGGTAGGACGCCTTCAAAAAAAGAAAATCTCTTATCACCAGTAAATCAAGTACGGCAAGATAATGGCCTTACGGGGCGCGGGAAGAGTGTATCCGATCGAATTTTTATTACTTTTTTGGTAAAACTATGATATTCTTGCAGTGTTGTTCTATTGGCTGTCAACTGTCATATTCCAGTCGGCACACTTAATTCGACTGACCTTTCTCAATCTGTATAGGTCAAAGGCCTGCAAATTTTGTGCTGGTTCTAAGTGCACAGCCTAGCTCGTGTCGATCGAGCTAACGCGACAGGTTTAAAGACGATCAAGGTTTGCAAAGATCCTACAGTTAGTATAGACTCGGACGATGCATATCGCCCCTACGTTGTACCCTCGGCAGCAACTTGAACACGCGGGTTAGAGGCTGATATATTCAAGCTGATGTGCTGCTAAATAAACAAACTGAGGTGGCCACCTGCTTCCCCAGGACACCACACTAGTATTAGGATTACTTGAAGACAACAGCATCATATCGTCATGGCAGCTGAAGTTAATTAGGAGACACATTGATGCGAATATGAAATCGTCCAAATCGAGCGACTGTTTCTCAGAATGCATTTTATGGAATAGTAAAAAGCGACGACGATAATATGTCATTCTCGGACGCCTGACTACATATCTAACGACCGTAAAAACGGAATTTTAACGAGAACTCCTCGAGTAGGGAGGGGAGGGGGTGATAGTAGTCCTAATTTAAATGAGGACGACTTAAGTTGCCGTCGACGGCGCCTGTGTCAATGTGCCATTATTTTCTTCTTATATGTTATAGAGTATGCAATGCGTCAAACCTCAACTTTCTACACCCTAATATCACTGTTGACTCTTGTCAATGACTACTTATTCACCTGAAGTAAGTTATATTTATTTGCAACTAGTATTTCTCCACTATCTGCTAACCGTGGACGCACTTTAAAGTCGGCAGCCAGTCCATATTCACTGGTTGAAGTTCGCTGCGTTTAAGTCACATCTAATGACCCTCGCTAGCGTAGATAGCTTGTGTGCGGAAATAGTAACGACCAAGAATGATCTGCTGGATGAACAACTGACTGTTAATCGGCCTTCAATATAAAGACAAAGTATATAAAGTTAAAAACTTAAAATGATCAAACGGTTATGGTAACGCCTCCCGACTTATGTGAATTGGTATCAAAGGTGAGGATTAAGTGTGCCTGACTTGAAAAGCGTTACTTAGAAGTATTTTCCTAGTCAGTCAGCATAACGTAAAGGACCAAAATAAATATTAAAACCCCCATGTCAGGTATATACTTCCAGCTTTGTCTTGGAATGTGAATGGCTGCCCTGCAAGCGGCCAAGAATGTCCTACATTACCAGGATGGGATGGTCTAGAGGTAAAATGAAAAAAATGGCGCCTAGGGCAGCTATTCCGGTAATGGTTAGCATGTAAGCTCTGCTGTCTCGTTGGTGATCTAATATCGGGGTAGTAGACGATGTAACTTCAAAAGATCATGGCGAGTTTTGGGGCTTCTATAGCAGAAAACAAAAGCAATATAAATGCAAATACTTTTATCTTACTTGAATATATTCCAGTTACTGTCCCTCTTGATATGCGGATCGACGACAACAACCAACTTCCTGTCATTGGCTGTCAAGTTTGCGAGCATACCATTGGGGTCAGAAAACTTGGTTTTGTCCCACACCAGATAACGTTTTCCATCAGAATATTCAATATCCAACCACATAACGTCCATTGGGAGGTTGTGTACATCGAAGTTTGCATTGACCGTGCTTACATCCTGTTCATCGTTGTAGTTCCATCTGCACTGATGATATGCCAGAGCAAAAAGCGGGGGAAGCCTCGTCGTCCCAGTTAATGAGGCGTACGCCCTTTGTGCTGAACTCGGACTGTCAGCGAGCATGACAAAGATGTCAATTACCCCGGACTCTGACATCCACCGAGTACGCACATTGGGATCAGATTCGCTGCGTGAAAAGAAGCGCGGAAGTTTTGATAGCAAACCAGATGAATCAGATTGTTTACTTGACTTCACGTCAATCCAAGTCTCAGCGGGGTTGTGCCAGAATATACCTGCTGTTGCATTCTCCCGGTGGGCCCACATTACCGGAACAGATCCATAAAGCGCCATCGGATTGTACAATTCGTACTCGAAAACATCCAAATTATACAGCCTATAGGGATCAGTGGATTCCGTATCCTTGAGAGCGAATGATTCAGCATGCTCTGGAATGCCGTAAACAAATTCGAAACCATGGAAGGTGACATCAACACCAACAGACGTCGGGCCATATGGACGGGAGTCACGATGGCCTTTAAACGTTTCAGACCAGTCAGCTGGTGCGGGTGGTGCGACCGTCGTTTCAGGTGGTGTGGGTGGGACAACCGTCGTTTCGGGTGCTACAGTACTTTCCTCAACAGAAGAATTATTCTCGATCGAAGATTGGGTGGCCGCTTCGCCCGATTCACCCTCGACCGTACCGGCCACTTTACTACCCCCATCCTCAGTGACATTTTCGGCTTCCGGTACAGGTGCTGGAACTGCCTGTGGTTTTTCTTGCTGGTGCTCAAAATTAAGAAGGCCCCTCTCGTTGACTGATACTAACACGGTCTTATTTCTGATAAAAGACAAACTGAATGGTTTGAGGTAGACTTTGACTTTGTCATTTTCCGAACCAGATATTATTATGTTGTCCTTGCCTGGCTGAAACTTCAGGGGGAGCTTCGGAGGCTCTTGTGCTAAGGCGTCAACTGGTGAAAGGCGGTAACGAGGACGGATGGGATGGGCTTCGTCAAGAAGCAAGCGAAAAACCGAAAATTCGTGATAAGTAATTGTGACAG